CTCATTTTGTTTTAAGGACCAGATCAAACATTGCAATGTTTTTCATTAAATAATTTTCTGCTGTTTTATGACACTTACTTCTATTTTTTTTTTTTTTTTGTCAAGAGAAATTTTTCTATTAGGGTGCATGCACTCACTGGAGACAGAAAGTGAGATTTCACCTCTGAGGAGGGTTGGCCATGTCCTTATCCCTTTTTCTCCATTCTCCTCTTGGGATTTTGGGTACGCATGCACAAGCACCAGGCATGAGTTTCAAGACACCAAATCTGTGACTCAAACCACAGCCAACTACTTGGGAGTCCAGATCACTGTGCCACCTTCTGGCCCCCACATTCACTTCTTAACTAGACCCATATAGACTTTCTACTCTAATCAAGCTAATATGCTTTCTGAAAATGAAATATTTTTTCTTATTGCCATGCCTTTGCATATTCCATACTTTTCACTGGCATTATGTTTAAAAGTCTCCCAATTTTTACTTAAGGAAGCTTTCACCATCTGACCTAGGGATTTTTAAGCAATTATTAACACAGTAACATTGAGATTTTATATGTTGATCATTTATCATTCATATGTATATTTACTTGTATGCTGCTTCATAAATATATTCTGTAATTGTTTTATGTGTGAAATCTGTTTCCCCATATAGGCTGTAAGTTCCTTGAGAGCAGGTTCCATTATTTTTACATCTACTCTCTCCACCATTTCTTCAAAATGTCCAGTGCTACTCATGTGATTATTGCATTTGATTGCCTTACTTAGAAGTGTAATATTTACTTTAAACTTTAGAGGAAACCAAAGGCTTTACAGTGACCTCTTTGTAATTCTATCTAAATCTCTTACATTGGCATACCTTGAATACTACATTGCTCTTCTCTCCCTTCCTTTTCCCTGGCTTTTTTTGCCTGCATTCCATGCAGCCTATAATAAAACCCGGCAGCTACCAAGAAGTCAAATAAATAAGAATTTCTTCAACCATCCTCCTTTTCACAGTATGTAATACATCCTAGCCAAATTTGCCTTTACTTCACTCACCATGCATGAATGCAGTCTTCTGGGTGAATTTCTACATCTTTTCCCCTTGATGTTCCATTCTCTTCCCCAATACTGTGGTTTCACCAATGCTTATAATTATTTTTTTGTTGATCAGGAATTGTTTTATTATACACACACATATATATGTATGTCTCTCTCTCTCTCTCTATATATATATATACTTATATAAAAAAGTGTGTGTGTATATATATATACTTGTATTAAAAAACCACTATTCTTCCTTCAATGAATTGTCATGGCACCCTTCTCTTTTTTTAATAATTTATTTTATTTTATTTATTATTATTTTTAATTTTGATCTGAAAGAGACAGAGAGAGTGAGAGAAAGTGAGAAAACAAGTCACCAGTTCTGGTACTCAACTGTAGCTGACCATGTGGGAGTCGAGTGCCTTAACCACCATGACAAATGCTGGCCTCAAGCACCTTTTTCTAAATTCATTTCACAATAGTCACATAGTTTTATTTTTGGATTCTTGAAACTATTTCACTGATCTATGTCTCTTTGTGCTAGTACTGCATTGTTGTAATGAGCATTACATTATAGTTTAGATATTGGAAAGTATAATCTATGTTGTTCTTTTTCAAGATGTTTTTGACTATTGTAGGTCCCTTGAAATACCATGTGAATTTTAAAATCAACTTGCCTATTTGCACAAAGAAGTCAGATGAGATTATGGTATGGATTGCATTTAATCTATAGATCAATTTGGAGAGTACTGACATCTTAACAGTATAAAGAGATTGAATCAGTACTTAAACACCCCCAAGAAAGGAAAGTCTGGGTTCAGATGGCTTCATTAGTGAATCCTAGTGAAGGATTCATTTAAAGAAACATTTCAAACATATAAGAAATATATATATATATTCTGAAAACAAAGGGGGAGAGAGAAAAACAGGCAGAAAGAAGACAGAGACTGCCTATCTCGCTTTACTAGGTGTTGGACTGAAAGAATGAGATTTGGAGCAGAGGCTGTTACAGTTAAAGGCACAGAGCTAGGCCCACCTCAGATGCACATGGATTCTCGCTTCACTAGGTGTGTGGTCTTGGGACCACTCACAAGATTTTTTAGATTTAGAAGAATGTTATACCTCCCCCAACATTACCATCTTGGTCTCAAAGCAACAACGGTGGGACAAAATGAAGGCTGTCAAACTTCTGGGATCTATAGATATAGAAGCAGAATTCAGAGATAGTAATGCCTCCTCTATGGGCCCAAAAAACAAGGGATCAAGCCAAAAAGAATAATTCTCGGGCCTTGGAACCTAATCAAATTTATTCTTCTCAGTTTCACATTTACTTGGAACCAATGACCCCTTTAATATTTTCATGTTCTCCCTTTCAGAATGAGAATGTATATACTATGCCTGTCCCAACAGTGCATTTTGGAAGCAGATAGCTTGTTTCCTGGTTTTACAGGTCCACAGGTAGAGCAAAATTTCCTTCTCACCTGGGTCATAGAGTCTCACCCATACCTGATTTAGATTAGATGATGAGATTTGGGACTTTTGAATTGATATTTAGATGGAATATTTTACTTAAAATAAAAGCTGGAATGTGTTCACTTTTGAAGATGGTGGAATAAGATGAATGTCAATTGCATATGGGATAAATGGAAATTTTCAAGGAGTAGAAGGCACAATGTAGGGAACTGAAAAGTAGCTTGCAAAAGATATGTTCATCTGAAACCTCAGGATATGACCTTATTTGGAATAAAGGGTTATTTATTTATTTATTTTTGCAAAGGTTTTTGCCTTAGAGTGCAGGCACTCACCACAGAGAGAGACACACACACAGACAGAGACCATAAGAAGGAAAGTAAGAAAACACCCCCCAGGGGGAATGGCCATGCCATAATCTTTGGCACATGTACACATGCGTCAAGCCACTGAGTCCAGGACTCAAATCACAGTTGGTCATGTGGGAGTTCAGTGATGTAGCTGATTCACCACCTGCTGGCCCCTGTAATAAAGATTTTTTTAGATATTAATCTTGGGATCTCAAAATTATATTATCCTGGATTAGGATGGACCCTAAATCCAATAATGGGTGACCCTGAAAGGGAGACAAAAGGAGGAGACACAGAAACATAGGGGAGAAGACCATGTGAAGATGGAGACAAAGATAGGAATTATATTACCACAGCTAAAAAACATGAGCAGCAACCAGCAAGTAGAAGAGCCAAGAAAGTATTCTTCTCTAGAACCTATGGAATGAGCATGGTCTTGGTGGCACCTTGATTTTAGATTTCTAACCTCCAGAACTATGTGAAAATAAATTTCTCTAGTTTTCTTTTGAGTATTGCCATAGGGTGCTTACACTCATCTGAGCATAAAAAAATTATCCTCCAGAGGGGTTATCAGGCCACAATCCCTTCACCTCCACTCTCCTCTTGGAATTTTGGGCATGTACATGCAGTTAGTGTGTTTTTCAAGATTCTGGGTCCAGGACTTGGGCAATTGGCCATGTGGGAACCAGCCACCTTTAGAGGGGTCCAACCCGGCGGGGCCCCAGGATCTGTCTGAGCCCCCTCGCTTCCGGTCGGTTCAGTACATTGGCAAGGCTGCTACTGTGTGCCCCCCCGACCTAGGATTTTGCTCCAGAAACTGTGGCAGCCTTCCTGGGAAGTGACCCCCCCTCTGACTCCCCAATATACTACTATAAAAGAATTACATAGCTCTCTTATACATCCTGAGCATACAATAAAATCTTTCAGGAAGTCCCTCAACCGCTCCCCTTTGCTCTGATCACCTACTATTAATTACAATGCTTTATCTCCATGGTCACAATAGAGGGTGGGCTGAAGTTCTTTCTAGGCAGAAATAATCTTTGACCTTTGGAAGGCCCTTCAAAATACATTTAAGGTAAACTTAATCCTTTCTTTACCTAAAATAGGATTAGGCCAAAACTGGCCCAGGACACCCCCGCCCTCACCAAGTGAAATAGATAAATATATTAGGATTCCTCAAATTAAGTTTCAGATCCCTAATTATACAAGTTCCATTCTTTATTAAGATCTATAAGAACTAATATCTATACTTGAGATTTTCTTTTCTCAGCACCATTCCCAGTAATCACAAGATCGCTGCTGTGCCACATCAGCTGATAATCATCTCTGCTTACCGGAACCGCTTTCCCGAAACTGCATTCCATGGAGACCCACCTACAATTGCAGAACTGCACTAGACCCACCCTTAATCCAACCCTGAACTGCACTAGACCCACCCTTAATCCAACCCTAAATAGAATCTATGTTCTCTATTGTTAAAACTCTATGAGCTGATAATTGAAATACTAGTCCCTCTTCCATTTACTTGCATGTAACACGTTTTCAATAAAAACGCACGATGATTCCTAGCAGTTGTCACTCCTCAGAGAGCGATCTTTGAGGGGCGTCCAGCAAAGGACGTGCATGAAAAGGCATCGAGGCCTTTGTCTTCTGTTCACTTTCACCATCTCCGTCGAGATAACCCACCCACGCCGAGGCTGGACCCCGGCACACCTTAATCACCACAACAACTGGCTGGCCCAGATTTCTGCAATTTTAAACCTCTGTTTGTGGTACTTTTTTGTTTTTTAGAGGTTTTTTGCCAAAAAGAAGACAGAAAGCAAGAAATCACCCCCCCCCACACTCCCGTGGGGGCTAGCCACACTGCAATAATTTCTCCTCCACTCTCCTCTCAGGAGTTTAAGCCACCAGATCTGGGACTCAAACTGTGGTTGATTACATGGTAGTCCAGCGACATAGCCATTACGCCAACTGCTGGTCCCATGTTTGTGGTACTTTTTAATAGAAACTCTAGAAAGCTAATACATCAGTGTAAAGACACACATGCATGTGAGTGCACACCCACACAAACCCACACCCACACACACAATTTTTCCAAAAATAACAATGTTTAACTTTCTTTTATAAATCCATATTTTATTTCAATATTTGCAGCTCTGTTTTTCTATTTGTTATGATTAGATAGCTATTCATACAGTTATTGGACATTACTACTACTTTTAATAACAATTAAAGATAGATAGCAGCTTCCCTTCTCTCTCTCCTTATTTCTTTGTATATCAAGGATATTTATTCTATGTCAGTAGTACAAGCATGCAATTTTTTCTTCCCATGTTTTTATGTGCTATTTAATGCTGTTTTCCTCCAAATGGGTTGTTTCAAAATTTGAATAGATTTGTATGGATAATAAAGTAATATTATTCTTTGCATAAAAATATTTGATATTTCATCAGCCCCAGGTTTACCAAGGTTAACATTTTCCACCTCAGATGTCACACAGCCCTCTGGAGCACAACTCTGTCCAAATGGGTTCAGGACTTGAGTCTCTACTCCACCATTTCTCAGATGTTTATTCCCTCTGAGTGTTCTTTTCCTCCTCTGCAGGACAGAGATAGTAATATCTGCCTCAATGAATTTTGCAGAGACTTTATGTAATAGACAATATCACTCTGTATTATGAAAAGAAACAAAAATACTGAAGTGGGGGGTGGGGGCCATATACGAAGAACAACTAGTCCTTTGGTGGATGAGAGTCATTGCTACAAGACAGGCTTTAGCTTTGCAGCCCCAAAATAGTCCAAACTCCTAGTTAAGTCACAGAGAAATGCTCATACTGGAATAAAAATGCAACAAAGATGATAAAGATGAAAATTATGACCACCAAAGAGTTCATTTCAGAACTTTGCTGTCAGGATTCTGCATCAGTCTGTGTGAAGGCCTCCTCTGAGCCATGAGTCACTTCATAAAGGCCTCTAGCCCTTGGCCTGGAGGATATAAAAGAAGGAGATGGGAAGTCAGCAGAGCCAGGAGCCTTGAAACAAATCCTCAGGCTTCTCAATCTTGCTCACTTGGCCCGAATTCTCAGATCTTACCTTGGACAGAGCAAGAACCTGTGCAGCTCTTTTATAGTCCCAGTGATTGTTTTGAAGGAACCTAGGGTAGAAGAAGGACAGGCAAAATTCATTAAGACCCAAGATAAGATAACAAACGCCATTTTCTAATCTTGCTACAGAAACATGACTTCGTGTTTACTGCAACATATGCAGCAGAATGAACCCTGTGGCATTGTGTCATAGGGGGGAGGGGCTCTGTAAAACCAAATGGCTCCCAATAAAGGAACAGGGTCCATGTAATTCAGAGAAGTAACATACACCTATTCAAAACAACCAGGTAGTGAGTTATTGAGAGGGATATATATGTTCAGTGTGATAATGAGTAAAATAAAGAAGCAAAAACAATTATCTGTTCCCATTATTCACTTCTCTGTCCTTCGCAGTCTATCCCATTTCTGTGCACACCCAGTACTCACTGCTGACACCACTCAAGATTCATTCCAGATTGGGCAGAGAAAGCCCGCACCATGTCCTGTTGCTCCTGGGAGAGATTGGGAATGGAGCTGGAGGAAGGTTTGAATTTGGGGATAGAGAAATTTCTCTGGATCCCTTGGGGGCTGGAATCCCATACGAACAGCTTGTCATTCACAATGCATAGGCTAGAAGAAAAATGGGTTCTCATACAGCTGCATAGATGGTCTATAGTACATCCTCAACAATGATCTTACTCCCACTGCCACTCAACCAGATTCCATCCAGACCCTGATTGTGCCTGCCTCCCAGATTCCTCGGCTGGTACCTTCTACCCTTACCACAGAGCCCATCTTTGGAGACATTGCCTACATACTTTATCAGATAATAAGGTTCACTTATAATTCGGAGATGGTTTTAAATTCACATCTGCCATTTACAAAATCCCAAGGGAGTGGACAGTACAATCATCATTTTCAAAGAGGTTACATGACTTGACCAAAGTCACAGAGCAAGTGAGTATTGCATCATGAAAGAGCCAATATTCTAACTCTGGAGCCCATACTCTTAACCACTAACTAGATTATTGTTTTTTCAACACTCCCAGGGTGGCCCTGCCACATTCCAACACCACTGGCCCAAAGCTGGGATGGATGTTCCCATGTTGCACTCACAGCACAGTGCTTACCTGAAGTTGCTAGTAGGCATAGCAATGAATGTCCGGGTAAAGGCATGAACAGAACCATGAGACTTTCCTTCCACTTCAAGAACAAACAACAATACCTTCTTAGACTTGCACATATTTTATATGATCGTATGGTGTTCACAAGTCAGTATCTCACTACTCTTGCTGAAGTGGGCCAGATTAGGACAACCATTTACTTGCAAGAAGGGAGAATACATCAACAGGAACAATCCCCTCCTAATGATGAGGCCCCTATCATATATTGGGCCTTGTGACAACAACCTAACAAGCTCACTTGTCTCCTGTTTCACAGTAGCCTGAGGTGGTATTATTAAACTCATTTTGTATATGAGGAAACCAAAGGGTTCAGTAGCTGATCCAAAGTCACAAAGCAACCTGGGATGAGAACTCTCAAACTCTACAGCCTTTGTCTCTAATGCCTGAGCTGTGCGGGGTAGACAGGCATGGACCTAGATCAGACCAGGACAGTTTGTGGGCAGAACACAGAGAGAACAGGAAGGCAACGAATGGGATAGGGAAGCTGGGAGAGTTCTTAGAGGGAGTCCAGCTAGGAGGGAGGGCAGTGAGGGCTTTGGGGAGGGAACTGTACACTCACCTTCCTTAAACACCCCATTGACAGAAAAGCAAACCATTAATTCCTGAAAAGAAAGAACTCAGGTGCTCAGGACCCTCCTTTACTTCCTCCCTACCTCAGCCCCTCTTAGTCTGCCCTAGGGAGGAGGCAGGGGCTCACTGTCTGGAACCACATGTCCACGACGAAGGAGCTGAGATCATGCTGAGTTTTAGGCAACACGCTGAGGGTGTCCACAATGTCTTGTTTTGTGTGCTTCATCAACTGCCTCCACGGGTCTGTTGGGGGAGGAGAGGTGAAAATGGGGGGCTGCCACACCCTGGCTATGACTCCTCTGACAGCCCTTCATATTCACTACCCTGCCAAGTCATGCCCATCACACACTTACAGGGGTCCTTAAGCTTCCGCATATTGCTACTTTCCTTGAAGTACTCACACAAGCTTCTCCTAGGAGGAAAAAGGGATAAGGAAGTGATATCCAGCCAATGTGATTATCTTCAGGGGCTGGCCTGAGTCTTCTGGGAACCCCTGACCAGTCTGATCTGTGATACTCACGGGTCTGGGTTCTTGAGCTTGGAGGGAATAGTCAGGGAGAAGCAGGCCTCATCATGGTAAGCACAGAGGAGACTCTGTCGGTCTCTAGAGTCATAGATCATGTAATACCTGAGGGGTAGTAAAGGATACAGGATGTCTCTGTGTTCTGGGTCCCATATGGGACTTTAAAGTGCTACTGAGGCCCAGCTTGGTGGTGCAATCAACAACAAACTGAACTGCAGTGCCGAAAGTCGCATGGTCTACTGCAAGTTTGGATGCCTGCTTGACCTGAAAACATGGTAGGTGTCTGGGTACATGCCCAGGTTGCTGATGAGATGGAGGAATGAGAAAAGGAGATCACACTGTAGTGAAACTATTGATGTTTTCTCTTTCTCTATGTCGTGTGGCACATGCACTCTCTACCATAAATAGAATACATTTTAAAAATAAAAAAGAGAGAAAGAAATTAGGAAAGAAAGGAGGAAAGAGAACAACCAAGAAGCTTTGTGCTTAGGTGAACTCACTTGTCTCAACCCTGCTTTTTCTTAGACTCCCAGAGTACTTACTGCTTCAGGAATTGCAGTAGCATACTCTTCATTGTCACAGATCCAAAGAAGCTTCCCTGTAATCAAAAGAGTCCTCAGGACCACAGCTGTTACTTCCTCTTCATACATCACCTAAAACCCTGCTTTGTTCTTCCTCCTCACCTTGCAGGTCAATAACTTCTTGCACGCTTCAGTGGCATAGAGAGTTGGTCTAGGTGACTCCTGGTCATCCTGGGAAAGGCAAGAAATGTCAGAAGTGCAGAGCAGGAAGGTGGCACAAGATAATCAGGGATAAGGGTGGGTTCAGAATAGAGTGAGTTCAGAGGTCAGGTGTGAAAGGATCCTGGAAATTAAATGAGCAAGGCTATAGATGGGGTCATCACCATGGGGTCCCAAAAGCCTATGGAGAACTTGTGTGAAGAAGGTTCACAGCTTTTGTTGGCTTCCCACATGAGTCTGTATCACTTCTCCACTCCCCCTTGAGATTCAAGTGCCAGCTCCCAAAACATAACTTGGACAAGACCTAAAGGATTTCAGGGAAGATTAGGGGCAGTGTCAGAACCAGTCACATGTTGATGATTTGGTATTAAACTTACCAGGCGTAATAACTTGGGGAATAATTCCAGAATAGAACTGTCAAAAATCAAAACAAAATAGACAAAAGTGACACTGTGGAGCTGGCCAGCTTCAGGGGAGCAAGCACATCTACATCAGAGACAGAGCCCAGTGTGTCCCTCTAGTGCCCTCATCCCTCCAAGGCCCTGATAATCTCCCCCATGGAATGAAGGAGGTTCTCTCTCTCTCTCCTTCTCTCTCCTCCCCTCCTTCCCTCTCTCCCTGTGTCTCTCCCCCTGCTCTCTTCTCTCTCCTTCTTTCTGGGTAATCCCCACCTACACTGCTCTGACTCCCTTCTCCAGTACCAAAAAGGCGGCATTAAAGCCCAGGCTCCAGGCTTCTTTTCTCTCCCTGCCTACCTTACTTCCTCCAAGTTGCCATGGGAGCCTCCAGAGGGATCAGGGAATAGGATGGGAGCCAAGGATTCTGTTCCCTCTCTGGGGGTCCAGCATTATGCGAGACCTAGCATTGCCAAGAGCAGGTCAGCCCCCAGGGATGGCCAAGGATGCTGGGGCAGAGAGGAGGGGAGACCTAGCCTAGCCAAGAGCAGGTCAACCCCCAGGGATGGCCCAGGATGCTGAAGCAGGAAGGAGGGAGAGGTAGGGCTCAGGGACCAGGGAGGGGAAGACAGAGGATAGCCACAGAAAGAGAATGAAGGGAAATACGGGGAGATCTGGAGAGTACAGACAAAGGAGAAAGGGAAAAGGAAAAACGCTTGACCATGCTGGTGGGGGTCAGGGAGGAAGAGGGAAGGAAATGGCT